ACGGTCAGGGTGGGCTCGGCCAGCCCAAACAGGGTGCCCAGGACCAGCATCTTGCCTGCGTGGCGAGGGCAGGGCAAGCGGTGAAGGCAGAGGGGAGACCCCCCACTCCTCCTCGCACCCCTTGCTTCCAGGGGGGGGCCCCCAATTCCTCACCAACCACCACGTCCACCGGCAGCTGGGCCAGGAGGTTCCCGATGGGGGTCAAGTCTTCAGCCTCATCCAGGGCTCCTTGGTCCTTCAGGTACCGCACGGCCGTTTCCAGGCTGGATGAGGGGGGCGGCTCCAGGAAGGGGAAGGTCCGGGGGTCGCCCAACCCCATGCTCTTCAACTGAGAGAGAAGCACAGAATCACAGAATCGTAAGGGTTGGAAGGGACCTCAGGAGATCATCTAGTCCAACCCCCCTGCTAAAGCAGGTTCACCTAGAGCATGCTACACAGGACTTCATCCAGGCGGGCTTTGAATATCTCCAGAGTAGGAGACTCCACAACCTCCCTGGGCAGCCTGTTCCAGTGCTCTGCCACCCTCAGAGTGAAGAAGTTCTTCCTCATATTCAACTGAAACCTCATTTGGCTTATCAAGTTTACTATTAAGATATTTGTATGCGTTGATGAGATCCCCTCTCAGTCTTCTCTTCTTCAGGCTGAACAAGCCCAACTCTCTCAGCCTTTCCTCGTAGGGGAGATGCTCCAGTCCCTTTATCATCCTAGTAGCTCTCCTCTGGACTCTTTCTAGGAGTTCCTCGTCTTTCTTGAACTGGGGAGCCCAGAACTGGACACAGTACTCCAGGTGGGGTCTCACCAGGGCAGAGTAGAGGGGGAGGAGAACCTCCCTCGACCTGCTGGCCACACTCCTCTTAATGCACCCCAGGAGGCCATTGGCCTTCTTGGCAACAAGGGCACATTGCTGGCTCATGGTCAGCTTATTGTCCACCAGGACTCCCAGGTCCCTCTCAGCAGAGCTGCTATCTAGCAGGTCATCCCCCAGCCTGTACTGGTGCATGGGGTTTGACCTCCCCAGGTGCAGCACTCGACACTTGCTCTTGTTGAACTTCATCAAGTTCCTC